CCACGCCCCGCCCCCCCCCCCGTCCCTCTCATGCCACTCGGCCAAGAGGGCTGTCCCATCGCGCCGGCTCCCCTCGGAGAAATGTTCTTACATCATCCCCTTCCCTCCCGCTACTGCCACACTTGGACCCAGTTTCCGCGCCCGGCTCCAGCTCTATGACGGCCAAACGCACACCGACCCGCTGATCGAGACGACTTCCCATCCGCAATCCTGCGCGCCTGACCAGTACGTCTCTCCTGCCGGGTCCCCTGCCCCCTGCTCGCATTTTCCTCTTGCTCCCGACGGCCCACGAACAACGTCACCATGGGAAGATGTCCTAACACATACCGGCGCTTGGAACCCGCCTTCCCCCTTTACAGGCGCCCGGTCAAGCACATGGTCCAGTTCTTGTATGAAACAAGTGCCGTGCCGCCGGCCGAGCCGTGCACGATCTGCCTCACTCGGTCGGAGTCGACCATTCTCCTGTCAGACGAGTCGGTGCAGCCATCGCTGGCGCCATCGAGCCTGGACCTCGGCAGCGTGGCCACCGAGCCTGGACCCCTGTCAAGGCATCCGATCAACCTGGCCACCGATCACTTGGAGGACTGGGTGTTCGACCTCGGACAGGAGACACGCAGTCGGGCGATCCGGCGGCCGGACGGCCGCCGTGCTCCAAAGAACGCCCTCTTGGTGCCGGTCTCGGAGCGTGCAGAGGACTCACTCGAGCCCGGCAGCTCGGACATCGACGACGCCTTTGAGCTGGTGTCTTCCACGGCCGGCAGTGACTCCGACTTTTTGATGTCTCTCCCGGAGTCCGAGGCGCACATCCTGGCCCGAACGGGATCCCCGGCGTCGGTCAGCGCCACCGATGAATCCTCCCCCACTCTGGGGGTCGTCGACTTGCTGGGCTCCGGTGAGGAGGCTGGCCATCCTGGCCTTGACACGGCCGATGGCCGTTCGCGGATTTCCCTGGCCCAATCGCCGGGTTTCCCATTGGTCGAGACCGACCGGCTGGCGGGGCACCCGCGCTCGTCCACATCCCGCGGCCCGATGTCCAATGTCGAGGGCAGCCCCCTTGGCGTGGCTGAGGATTCCGGCTTCCACTCGGACATGTCGACCGCCGCTTTGGTGTCCTCCATCCCGCCAGTGGTTGGCCCCGACGCTGCCATCGTCGTCGCTCGGACTTTGGCCAAGCCTGCCCTTACTCTCCCCCCAATGGGCAAGGCATATCCCCTGTCGGGACCCGGGACCTCGGTGTATCCCTTCATCCTGGAATTGCCGATTCCCTTCTGGTGCATCCGCTTCTGCCAGGCCTTTAACCCCTTCTGAGGGGCCCGTCTTGTAGCCCACATAGATTGATCCGGCGCTGCCCGAACGAGGGCATTCCCAGCGGAAAGCGCCGATCCAAACAACAACGACAGCATTTGCGTAAGTATACTTGTATGCATGTGTGTGCTTGTGTGCTTGTGGCTCTGTGTCTTTTTTCTCTGTGTCTTTGTGTGTGTGTGTGTGTGTGTGTGTGTGTGTGTGTGTGTGTGTCCAGGGACGCCCAGAGGAGGGAATGGTGGGGCAAAGAAAGAAGGAGAGAGAGAGAGAGAGAGACCAGAAAGACCAACGTGGAAAAGAGAGCCGAAGGAAGAGAGTTGTCATCTATTCCAAAGGGCAAGGCTAAGCACGGGGAGGGCTCTGTTCAAGGTAGGTCTTCATCGTGAGACCGGACGGCGGCCCAGCCATCAGCGACGGGCTCCGGCTCGGGCCTCTGCCCGCAATCGTGCACAAAGGCCCGGAGAACATTAGCCCGGAGGTGCATTCGATCGGCTTGCTCCTGGGTGATTGACCGCGAATGGACCAGGCGCTCCAGGCGCCGGAGCTCTCGGCCGATGAAGCCCGGCTCGTGCAGGGCCCCCTGCATGACGGCCAGGTAGGGGGCAACCTCAGCCGAGGTAAACTGCCCATCAGCCATGTGTTGGGCTGTTTGGCGGAGAATGTCGGAGGCGGCCCGGGCGCCGGCGGTGACACTGGCGCCAGGGCACTGGGCCATGGCAAAGTCGGCCGCCAACCGGTCGAGCTCTGGCAGCCGGCCAACCTCCGGCAAGAATCCGCCATAATGGTGACGCTGGGTGCCGGTTTGCCGGTTGATGAAGTCCACAATGTTCTCCAGGTCACGCGACGCGCCGAACTCAAGCGGCAGCGCATCGGCCGGTGCCCCTCGAGGGAAGAGCACCAACGACGGGGGCGCCACCGTGCCGATTTCCTCGCGCAGGTAAGGGCTCTCATCCAGATCCACGCGAATCAGCAGGACAGTGGGCTCGGTGGCAAAGAGAGCCGCCACACGCTCCATCACACTCAACATACGCGTGGAGTGGTAGCACCAAGGGGCATAGAGCAGAGCCACGACATGCTGCTCGCCGCGGGCCGCATGCTCCAGCATTTGGTAACCGGTCAGAGGTTGCAGGAAGCGCGGCCGGGGCAACGGCGGCAGGGCGTTCAGCCCGGTGTGCTGGCGCACGAAGTCCAAAATGGCGTGCACATCATTCGGGCCCTCATAACTACCGGACATGAAGGCCATCAGATCAGGGACACGGCAAGGGTCCATATTCACAGGGTCAACACACACACACACATACACACACACACACTTTGGAGACTCGCATGTGACACAATCAGCGGGGACGGAGGAGAGGGAGGGAGCCCAGGGAGGATGCACTGCCGGAGGAAGGGGATCGAGGAAGACAAACGCACAAAGCCACAGCCGTAGGGTCTTCCCGGGGGATGAGCGCCAGTGAGGGGAACCCTTCGGGGGAGTACTTGCGAGCGATCGAGGGGAAGTATTCGCCGTCCAGTCGGCCCACAAGGATCGACTCGGCAAAGTCCGACAGACCGACGGCCGCGTCGTTAAAGTGCTGGGTCGGACGAGTTGTGGTGTCAGCTTGACCGGCGACTAGAAGGGCCGGAAAGACAGAAAGAGGACAAAAGAAGCCGACTCGGCTCCACATGGCGCGCAGTGCGTACATCCTCCAGATCCCGGCAATCGTCGCACCACTCGGTGTAGAAAAAGACCAATGCATGGCGGTGTGCCTGGTGAGTGGCCATCCGGAGCTGAATGTCATCTAGCTGTACAGGCACCGAAGAGGGGGCCATCGTGGCCACCGGCCGAACGGGGACCGCCTGGGTCGCCAGCAGGGCCAGCCCAAGCAGCGCCATCAGCGCCAGCGCCAAACGCACGGCCGGACGAGAGACGCCCATGATCAGGTCCAAGGTGGGAGAAGGAGAGGCAGAGAGAGAGAGAGAGAGAGAGAGAGAGAGAGAGGCAGGATGAGGGAGGGGCACGCAGGCAGGAGAGAGAGGTCTCTTTCAAGAGCGCAGGGCCCCCGATCCGGGAGATCGCCCACGGAAAGGTCCCCCCCCCCTCCTGTGGCCCCAAAATATGCAGCGCCCCGCCTGGGCGATCTCACTTCCCGCCGCGGCTGCCAACGCTCCTCTGCAGCGCCGCGGGAGAACAAACACGGCCAATGGAAATACTGTGTATATTGTTTTGAACGTGTGCATGTGGGAGAGAGAGAGAGAGAGAGAGAGAGAGAGAGAGAGAAAGAGAGAGGCACAGGGGGAGGGAGGAGAAGAAAAGAAGGAAGGTGGGCGAGGAGAGCGAGAGGAAGAAGAGAGAGACGAGAAGAACCAGCCCTCGACGAAGACACACACGCGCACACATGCCCCTACTTGTAGTACATGAAGCGCGGGGACGAGGAGGCAGCGAGGAGAGCCCCATCGGTAGCCACCTCCGGGAGGTGGTGGTGATGGTGACGCGGCATCATGGCCGCATAGTCCAGCTGCTGCTGCGGCTGCGGCTGCGACTGCGGCTGCGGGATCCCGCCCCCGGGAGCGGCGTAGTAGGCACCGGCGTTATGGACGCCAGGCAGGCCGGCCACCGGGCCAACCTCCGCGTGTGAGAAAGCACCACCGGGGCCAGTGACCACCGGGGCAGAAACAAACTGCTGCTGCAGGGCCGCCACGGTGGCCGCCGCAGAGCCGGGCTGGGGAACAACCACCGTCGCCGGGCCCGGACCACCACCGGTGGTCGGGTCCACGAAGCTGCCCTGCGGCGGGAGCATCACCACCGGGATGGACTGCCCGGCGGACCCGGCCCCGGTCGAGAAGCCCATCAGCGAGGTGATGATGTTGCGCAGGTGCTGATTGTCGGCCTCCAGGGCGTCGACCTTCTTCATGAGGTTGTCCTTGTCGCAAATGAGCGATGCACAACGGTCGGTCAGATGGGTGACCAGGTGCCGGCCCTTGTGGCGGTACTTCTCGGCGGCCAGGCGATTGCGCGCGCGCTTGGCATCCGAGCTGGAGTCCTGCCCGGCGGCGGGGCGCTTTTGCGAGGCCCCGCCGCTGCCGGTGGCGCTGTTGGCGGACTTGGCCCCGGCTCCCGAGGGGCCGGGAGACGAAGAGGAAGAAGAGGAAGACCCCTCGTCGGTGGCCTTGTCTGTGTTGCTGCCCGCCGGCGAGGGGGACTTGCTGGAAGTGGACTTGCCACCGTCGACGGCCGGCGAGGCGGACCGCGACCGGGTGGCAGTGCTGGCGCGAGCGCGAGCCCGCCCGCCCGTCTCGAGGGCCACCTTGGCCGCGACCTTGGCCGCGGCAGAGGCCGTAGCCTCGGCCGTGGCCGACGCCAGGACTCGCGCCTTGGCCGTGGCTTGGGCATGTCCCGGGGACAGGTCAGCCAGGGAGTCCGTCTGATGATCAACCAACGGGCCGCGCAGGATCGGCAGCAGAGTGGCCGCCGCCGCCGGGGGGAAGAGCGCCGCCGCCGGCACCGCGCGAATGAACCCCGAAGAGTTGAGACTGTTGAAAGGAATGGTAGTGGTGGTGGTGGCGGCGGCGGCGGCGGCGGCGGCACCGGCGGTGGGGCCGGCACCGGTGGTGGTGGCAGCAGCAGCAGCAGCAGCAGCAGCAGCCGCCGCCGCGACAGCCGCAGCAGCCCCAGGCCCGGCCGCCATCATCTGGGTCATGTCCATCGGGGGGAAGACACCAGCAGCCGGGTTGACCGCCGGCAGCAGCATGCCGCCGGCCGGGGCACCGAAGGGCTTGGCCAGGGTGGCGGCCGAGGAGAAAAGGACATCGGCCGCGGCGACCGTCGGGCCAACCGGCACCGGGTGATAGCGGCCCGGCATGCGAGTGGTCATCTTGGCCGCCGTGACGGACCCCCGGCGCGAGGCACTGCCAGTGGCCCCAGGGGACTTGGCACGCGGGGTCTTGGCAAAGGGCCCGGAGGAGAAGTCCTCCGAGGGGAGGACCATCCCATCGGTGCTCGAGCGCCGGTGTGCCGAGTGATCCTGCGGCTGCTGCGACTGCGGCTGCTCCAGGTAGAAGCCCTTGAAGTTGTCAGCCGAAGAAGTGCCGGGGGCGACAGTCTCCCCGGTGGTGGCCAGCAGGTGCGACTGCTGCGCCTGGCCGGCAACAACCGGGCCGGGGCCATACTCCTGCTTGATGTGGCCAGTGGAGGTGGCATGGTGCAGGGGGGTGTCGATGCCGGACCGGTGCATGCCCGGACCCGGGGGGGACTGCTGCGAGGAGGAGGCCACCGGGGTGGCCGAAGATGAGGAAGCCCCGGAAGAAGACCCGCCATGGGCAAAGACCCCGGCATTGGAGGACTCCGGCCCGAGGGAGAGCATCTGCTGGAAGCGGCCCTCGTCCACGAAGTTGGCCCCGCCATGCGGGGAGGACGACCCGATCGCCGAACCGGTGGAGGACACCAGCGGCCCGACCGGGGTACCGGCGGAATCGAAGGCCGCGGCAAGGTTGGAAGGCGAGGAAATCGGAGACACCGAAGAGGGGGACGAATTGCCGGAAGAGGAGGACCCGCCCGGGGCCTGGGAGGCCGGGTGGCGGAACTGCGCATACGTCGCCGTGACCGGGCCGAGGCCCGGGGCAGGGGCCGGGGCTTCGGCAAAGTGGGCGCCGTTGGCGCTCAGCATCGAGGGGTATGGCCGGGCATTGGCCGGAGCAAAAGAAGCCATGTGGGCCGTCGCCTCGGCGGCGGCGGCGGCGGCGCTGGAAGAGGAGGACCCAGGGGCGGTGGTGCCGGCGTAGACCGCGTTCCCGTCAGAGGCGAAGGGCCCGGCGGCATTGATCGGGGCGCTGGGACCGGCGAAATAGAGGTTGCTCGAGCTGTCACTGCTGCTGAGGGCATTGACAGGAGCATGCTCGGCGTCCATGTAGGGGACTGTCGTTGTCCGGCCAGAGGGGGGCGGGCAGGAGAGGGACGACGTACAGACAAGGTGTTGGGAGAGCACGTGTGAGAGGCGAAGGAAAAGGGCAAGAACACCGAGAAGGAGAGAGAGAGAGAGAGAGAAGAGAGGGGAGATAGAGAGAGAGAGAGAAGAGAGGGGAGAGAGAGAGAGAGAAGAGAGGGGAGATAGAGAGAGAGAGAGGAGAGGGGGGAGAGAGAGAGAGAGAAGAGGGGGGAGAGAGAGAGAGCGAGAAGAGGGGAGAGGGAGAGAGAGCGGGGGCGAGAAAGAGAGGAAGGGGGAGGGATAGAAAAAGAGCAACAGCAAGCGCAGACGCACCGAACTCGAGGCGCTGATCGGCCCCATGGGAGTGCGGCAGATGGGGATGGTGGTAGGCGGAGAAGTCCTCGGTGGCGTTCAGGCCAGAGGAGCTAACCATGGCCGAGATCTCACGCAGGGAGGGCGGCGCACGGTTATGCAGATGACGCAGGTCATCCTCGGCGCTGGGGCCTTGCGACATGACCGAGTTGGGGTGGGGAAACCCCGCGCCCTGGGACCCATCGTCCTCGCCATCGCCGGCGGGGCCATTGTGCTGGGAGGCCCACTGCTCGAGGGTCGAGAGGTCGACATCGTGACCGGAATGGCCGTTGCCGTTGTAGCTGCCACCGAAGGAGATGGGCATGCCATTGCTGTTGTAGTAGGCTGGGAGGCTGCCCTGCGGGACGATAACCCGCGGCCGGGTGGGGATCTTGCACATGACTCACAGGTAGGGGAGAGAGGGG